GCGAACAAATCACGCAGCCGCTAGCGATTTGCCGGGCCGGCTGGCCCCACAATTCTACCCACCACCTCATCAAACTCTTCGGCTAGCTGCGCCACGACCGGCTGGAGAAAGAAGTTCAAAATCTTGTTCCATAGCTCCCATGAAAGAATTCTAGGCAACGCCCCAAGTCAGCAACGCCCGAAACAGCGTCAAAGACACCGAATACACGCCGGTTCGCCATGGTCATGTCGGCATTGAGGGTGCCAATTTTCACTGGTCGTTGGTTCTTGTAAGGACAGACGGCCAGACGAAGCATATTTTCAACGCAGAAAAGGGGACGAACAAACAGCATATGTGTTCAGCGTGAGTTTGAAACGTAAAGGGCTGGGCCACTGCAGCTACGGATACATATACGGATGAGTTGTAATGAGGAATCGACGGGGCGTTGGGCACGCGCGTGGACAGAAGAGGCTGGTGCGTCTCAGGAGACGTGCTAGGTACACAAAAGGTCAACTTCTATGCCGCGGCAACGTAAGGCCGAGCGCTGGGAAGACGCGCGGCCACGTGTACCCAGCTCCCACAGGTCATCCACGCCATGTATGTCCAGCTTCCTGACGCACGTCGGTTTCACCCGCAATTATATTTTCGAAGGGCGCGCTGCGCCAGAACGCTGCTGGGTGAGGGGGGGGGGGGGGGAGGGCGAGAGCGAATGGGGCGGAGAGGGAGGAAAAGAATCTGAGAGTGGGGCGTTGTGGTGGATGAACGTGCGCGGGCGGTTTAAAGTTGGGGAGGGACGAGCGGTATCTGGGAATCGGGCGTTGCACCCGCTAGACCGCGGGCTGTGCACCCGCAGCCGCACACAAGGCATTGCACCTGGTATGAATCAGCGTTGCGCCCGTTGTGGGTTCCGCACGCGCACCACACAAAGCACTGCACCTGAAACGGATGGAAGTTGCACCCGTGTTGGTTTGGCACCCGCAGCACGCAAGGCATTGCACTTGAAATGAATGGGCGTTGCACACGTCTTGGGCGAAGCACCCGCTCATCCCTATTCCTCCTTCCTCCTCCTCCTTTTCCTCCTCCTCTGTTTGGGGCCCTCTGGGGGCGTTGCGCCCGCTTTCGGCTTTGCGCCCGCAGCACTCGCGGCATTGCACCTTGTACGGGTGGGCCTTGCGCCTGATGGGCTGTGCGCCCGAAGGGCACATGGCATTGCACCTGGAAGTAGTCGGCGTTGCACCCAGACTGGGCGCTGCACCCGGAGCACACGTGGCATGGCACCTGGCAGCAACGGGCATTGCACGCGAAGGTGATGCACTTGCGCTCCTGTGTCCTTTTTCCCCCTCCGAACACTGCTATTCCGTAGTAGCCCGAAGCGTTGTGAAGAGCATGGGCCACCACATCATTTATGTTGTAGTATTTTCTGGCGTCCGAAAGCTGGCGGCCACCTTGCGGGGGGTCTGGAACTTAACGTTCCAATCGTATTTCTCTCCCCGCCCTTTCCTCGTCCTCTCTCTCGCTCTTTTTTTTTTTTTTTCTCTCTCTCTCTTGAAATGACGAGGGGTGAAACAAGATAACGAAAAAGGCATGGCTGAGGAGAAGAGGAAGACAGAAGGGAGGAGGATAACTACAGGGATGAAGGGGGCTACCCCATTTCTGCCCTTTACCAAATGCCACCACACACTCCTATTTTCGACAGACACCAAACACTGCTATCCTACAGTCTGTATGGGTCCCGCAAACACCCTCAGGCGAGCCAGCAAGGTCGCGGGAATTGTACGAATTCGAGGAAGCGCAACAAATAGCAGCGTGTGGTGGCCATTCGCCTTCGGATGTCGGATGTCTGAGGGATTACTGGACATGGGAGTGCTTGGTGGACAGTGGTAAGGCGCAGAGGTAGAGTATGCCTACTCATCCTTGTCGTGATCCTCCCTCCCTCTCTCCCTTTTCCTCCTCCTCCGTCCAGCCGACTGTTCCCCTTGTCCATGTCCCACCTAGTCGGGCAAGCAAGGGCAAACAAGCGGCGAGGAGAGAAAGACGATTTTAATTACCAATTCAAAACCCACAAGGTGGATCGTGGGGGGAGCACGCGTGTATACATATATATATATATACACACATACATACATACAGATATACTAGAACCATCGCGCGCGCCTCGGTTCTAGCTGGTCGGGTGCTGACCGCATTGGGACAACAAGGCGGCCATGAATAATGAGGTCAACGTTCTCTGTGCCCTCCTGCCTCTTCCTCATTCCCCCTCCTGTGCTCTCATCGGCTGGTCGACCGGTGATCTGTCGCCAAGCTTCTTGGGGACCTCTTGACCCCTCCTGTTGGGGGTCTCCTGGGGCGAAGATCTCGGGCTCTCGGTACACGTTCCCGATGGTGGCCTTCGGCCCATCCCGTCACAGTGCCTGAGTTGTGGGTTAGAGGCCTCTTGTAAGTTCGTTTGGAATTCGTGGGAGGCTTTCCCGGGGGCCTCTCGCAGGCAATGTTGGAGGCCTCTTGGGGGCCGTTTGGGATGCTCTTGGGGCGTCTTCTTGGGCCCGTTTGGGGCCTCTAGGGGGCTCTAGGGGGCCTCGTGGGCTCTGTTGGGGGCCTCTTGGGGCATCCTGGAGGCCTCTTGTGGCGGAAGGCTCAAATTGTCGGTTCGTGTTCCCCGTCTTGGGCCCCTCTTGGGACCGTCTTGGGGCCCTCTTGGGCGCCGCTCGGGCCGTCTTGGGGCACTCTTGGGCCGTCTTGGGGCTCTCTTGCGCCGTCGTGGCGCCCTCTTTGGGTGCCTCTTGGGCCGTCTTGAGCTGATTTCTGGGGCCTCGTGGGCTGTCTCGGACCGTCGGAAGCATGAAACAGCGAGAACACGACAGACCTTCAAAAACACTCGAACAAACCCATAAGGTTCGTCTCCTGAGTGCCTCGTAAGAATCCTTTTGAAGGCATCTCGGACGTCTTGAAGCCCATTTGGGCTGTCTTAAAACATGGTGGACCAATTTTGAAACGCGCTTGTGCGGTCTTGGGCTCTCTTGGAGCGCTCTGGGACCGCTCTTGGGCTATCTTGGCGCCCTCTCGGACGTCTCTCGGACCCCTTTGACGTTTTTTGTCGCGCCCCCGCCGGGCCCGAAACGGCCGGAATATGAATCAAGTGCAATTGGGGGGCCTGGGACCCCCTGCACACACACACACATATATATATATATGTATATATGCATACATGTATATATACAAACATACATATATGTATGCATGCATAGATGTATGTATGTATGTATGCATGTAGGTATGTATGTATGTATGTGTATGGTAATGTGTATGTCTATGTGCATGTATATATGTGTGTGTGTATGCAAGCATGCATACATGCATGCATGTATGTATAAACGTATGCAGGTACGTATGCATGTATGTGTGTCTAGGTGTACATCTAGATGCACATGTGCATGCTGGAATCTGTGCACCTAAATATGTATACATATGTACGCACGCATTCATACATACACATAGTCGTATACATACACACTGGACTGGGACCGATAGAAGCTAAACAATAACCAAGCGACGACCACACATGCATATGTATAAAAGCACGCATATATACATACTTATATATAGATGTACGATTACATACAACTCTATACATCTGCACATGCATCGAAGGAAGCCACAAGCATATTTATACATATACACTACTATACTTGTATATATATATATATATCTGAAGGAGAGAGAGAGAGAGAGAGAGAGAGAGAGAGGGGGAGAGAGAGAGAGAGGGAGAGAGAGAGAGATAAACAAAACAGGCAACACTAAAACAACCGACCCACATACTGGCCAAGCTTTGGAACGCGTTAGGGGATAGAAGACGATCTGGAAGAACATATAGAAACAGAGATCAAGAGAGAGAGAGAGAGAGAAAGGGAGAGGGAGGCGGGGCCCGATCCGAAACCAGCACCCCCAACGTCTCAAGGGTCCCGAAGCGAGGCCAGCAGAGGCGACGAGCCCCCCCCCCCCAACGGCAGGCCCAAGCAGATCCAGCAGAGACGCCAGAATCCACTTCACCCCTTGCCCCGCCTCTTCCTGTGAGAAAGGGGTTGGCTCGGACTCCCGACGTCGTGACCTACTTAAGTGAACCTCGGGACCTCCCGACACCTTCCTCGGGAGCGGCCAAGAGGGGGGTGTCCAAGAGGGGGGGGTGCAAATCATGACCAGCGGCATGTGCGCGGCCCAGCGGGGGGGCCTGGGACGTAATGAAATAAGAAGAGGCGCCATGACATCTGGGGAAAAATCATGGCCCGCGCCATGAAATCCACCCCCCCCTAGTCATCACCCCCCTCTTTTCCGCCCCAGATACTTAAGTGAACCTCCGGACCTCCCGACACCTTCCCCGGGGCAGGCTTTTCATACCGGGGTGCTCTCTGACGGCCACGGGGCCCGGCAAAGGGCCCCTGGAGGTCGAGCGTGGCCGAACACGTCCGGTCGTGATTTTTTGTCGCGACGGGGAGGGGTCTGGGCCCGTGCACCCTAAATCAAGACGCGAATCTGTCCTGGGGTGCGTTCTGGGCAGACTTTCGCGGCAGATCCAGGAGAGGTCTACCGGGTGCCACACAGATAGGGAGAGCCAAACAGTCCCGATGGAGGGGGGAGAGAGAGAGAGAGAGAGAGAGTGTGTGTGTGTGTGCGTGCCAGAGAGAGAGAGAGAGACACGAAACAAAAACACACACACACAAATGAGACAAACAGGGGGAGAGAGAAAGAGAGAAATATAACAACACAAGGACACAGGGCATACGTATTTACGTATACATATAACAGTGACTGTATATCAAGAGACAGGGCCATGAACATATACCTTAATATAACCATAGAACTATAAATATGTAGAGAGAGAGAGAGAGAGAAAAAAAAAGAGAGAGATAGAGATAATGAGAGAGAAACAACTAATAACGAACCAGAGAGAGATAGAGAGGGAGAGAGTCCGAAAGACGGGCACAGAGAAAGAGAGAGAGAGAGAGAGAAACAGGCAGTCGGACGTCCTCGGAGCCCAGCGCCGTTGCGAATGCCTCCTTGTTCATTTGCAGCTCCTCACTTTTGTGAGCGCGCGGGGGGGGGCTGGAGAGGCGGCGTGCGGCGGCGGCGGGAGGCCGTCGGGACCCGACCGGACGAGCGATTCTCCCCGCCGCCGCCGACTTCCCCGCGCCCTTCGCTGCGGAGGACTGCTGCGGGGCGCCCCTGCCTGGTCGCCACGGCCTGACAGGCCACGAGCGCCGAACATATCCACATGCACGCCCTCGCCGTTGGACTGCGAGGCGCGATCCCGTGCCTACGCGGCCGCACGGACGTGCTCCGCGCGGGGCGTCCGCGAAGAAACGTCCCGCATCCACGGGAGGCGCGGCCCGGGGGCCCGGCACGCGAAGCCGCGGACGCGGACACGTTGCCCGCCCACGAGGAGCGTGGACACTGCAGTAGGGGCTCTGGGATCAACATTGCCCGAAGTGCGTTTCGCTCGGAAGGTTCTCATGATGGCAAAAACAAGGGAGGATCCCACAGGAGGAACGGGGAGCTCGAGAACCCTGGTACCAGCAGCCGTTTCGCCTGAGACATCCTCGCGCATTACTCAAACATCGCGTTCGCGCTCTCACCAAGACGGCCGCGATCCCTGGTAACACAAACACACACGCGCACGCACACATACACACAGACGCACGCGCAAGCACGCACGCCCACACGCACACGCACACACATCCGTACACGAATGCACACACACACACACATTCACACATTCACACGCACACACACACACACACGCGCACACCTGCACGCACACGCCCAAACAAACACACAGACACACTCACACACACACACACACACACACACGCACACGCACACGCACACGCACACGCACACGCACAGACACAGACACGCACACGCACACGTACACGCACGCGCACGCGCACATGCACACGCACACGCGCACACGCGCACACGCGCACACGCGCACACGCACACATGCACGCGCACACGCGCACATGCACGCGCACGCTCGCATACGCGCACACGTGCACACGCGCACACGCGCACACGCGCACACGCGCACACCCGCACACGCGCACACACACAACACCCCCCCCCCACAGACAGACACACACACACAAAAAACAGCAAAAAACACGCACGCACGCACCCACGCACCCTCGCGCGCACGCACACGCGCACGCACACGCACACGCACACGCACACGCACACGCACAAGCATTGCACTTGCACTTGCACTTGCATTTGCACGTGCTCGCACACGCGCACCCACACGCACGCGCACCCACACCCACAGGCACGCGCACGTGCACACACACACACACACACACACACGCGCACGCACACACGCACACGCACACCAGCACACACGCTTACACACGCACACACGCACACACAAACAATGCACACGCACACGCACACGCACACGCACACGCACGCACACCCACACTTGCACGAGTACTCACACTTGAACTTGCACTTGCACTTGCATTTGCACGCGCACGCGCACGCGCATCCACACGCACGCACACCCACACCAACAGGCACGCGCACGCGCGCGCGCACACACACACACACACACACGCACGCAAACACGCACACACGCACACACGCACACACGCACACACGCACACATGCACGCACACGCACACACGAACACACGGACTCACGCACACACGCGCACACGCACACACACACACACACACCCGCACACGCACACCCGCACGCACACACACACACACACACACAAACCACAAAACACGCACGCACGCACGCACGCACGCACGCACCCACGCATGCACGCACACATGTACACACACGCACATGCAGACGCGCACACGTACAAGCACACATGCACTTGCACTTGCAGGTGCACAAGCACTTGAACTTGCCTTTTCACGCGCACGCGCACTCGCACGCGCACCCACACGCACGCGCACCCCCACCCACTGGCACGCGCATGCGCACACACACACACTCAAACACACACACACACACACACACACGCACACACGCACAGACGCACACACGCACACACGCACACACGCACACACGCACACACACGCACACGCACACCCGCACACCCGCACACACAAACAAGAAACGCACGCACGCACGCACCCACGCACCCATGCACCCACGCACGCACACCCACACGCACACGCACACGCGCACACGCACAAGCACACATGCACTTGCACTTGCACTTGCACTTGCATTTGCACGCGCACGCGCACGCGCACGCGCACGCGCACGCGCACCCACACGCACGCGCACGAACACCCACAAGCACGCGCACGCGCACACACACACAAGCACGCGCACGCGCACACACACAGAGACACGCACACGCACACACGCACACACGCACACACGCACACACGCACACACGAGCACACACACAGACACACACACAGACACACACACACACACTTACACACACACACACACACACGCACACACACACACAGACACACACACACACACACTTACACACACACACACGCACACACACACACACTATTCGTGTGCTTCGCTGGGGTGGTCGTTGGCATGCGGCGTCGGAGGAAAGGCGCTGGGACCCACACTCCCCCAGACGAGCGGGCCTCTCCTCCGCAGGCTCGGGCGTCTCTTCCACGCCCTCCCACGCGCTGGCTCCCAGGCCTCCTCGGCCTGGGTGCGCCTTACGAGCCTTTCCCTCCTCCGCGGCCGCCCTCCTCTGCCTCTCGCGCGCTTGTGCGCAGTTAGCCATGCAGCGACCCAGCGTAGGTTTCATCCGCGCCCGCGATGCGGGTCAAACATGCGGACGGGCCCTCGGCTTAGAAGCCGCAGCGCCGCGCTCCACCTCTCCTCCCGCCTTCTGCCTCCTCCTCCCCCGCCCCCTCGTTCTCCCCTTCCCGCCCTGGGCCCATTTCGGCACACCACTCGCGCGGATCGTGCCCCACAGGGATCTCCACGGGCACACTTCGCATGCCGCTGCGGGCCCATTTCGGCGGACCACTCCCGCGGATCGTGCCCCGTAGGGAGCTCCACCCACGGCCTCAGTGGGCCAGTTCGCATGCCCCGGCTAGCCCATTCTGGCCCCACAGGGAGCTCATTTACGGCCCCAGAGGCAAAAGTCGTATGCCGCGGCGCGCCGATTTCGGCACACTCCTCGTACGGATGGTGCTCCATAGGGGGGCCCGCCTACGGCTCCTTTTATTCAAAGTGCGAATGCTGCGGCGCGCCCTTTTCGGCACACCCCTCACACGGATCCGTTTGTGCCCCACATGGCGCTCCAACTCTCGCCTCATCGGGTGGGTTCGGGAAGGGGCTTCCGTAAATTTCGACACACCTACGAAGAAAGGGCCCAACCCTGCGCTACGCGCAGGTGTATAGGGTTGGGAAGTGCAAGTGCATGTGTGCTTGTGCGTGTGCGCGTGTGTGTGCGTGTGCGTGTGTGTCTGCGTGCGTGAGTGGGTGCGTGCGTGCGTGCGTTATTTTTGTTGTTTGTGTGTGCGTGTGTGCGTGTGTGCGTGTGTGTGTGTGTGTGTGCGTGTGTGTGTGTGTGTGTGCGCGTGTGCGTGAGTGTGTGTGTGTGTGTGTGCGTGTGTGCGTGAATGCGTGCGTGCGTGCGTTGTCTGTTGTGCGTGTGTGTGTGTGTGTGTGCGTCCGCGTGCCTGTGCGTGTGCGTGCGCGTGCGTGTGGGTGCGCGTGCGCGTGCAAATGCAAGTGCAAGGGCTCGTGCAATTGCATGTGTACTTGTGCGTGTGCGCGTGTGAATGTGCGTGTGCTTGCGCGTGTGCGTGCGTGCGTGGGTGCGTGCGTGCGTGCGTGCGTTGTTTGTTGTGCGTGTGTGTGTGTGTGTGCGTATGTGCGTGTCTGTGTGTGTGTGTGCGTTTGTGTGTGTGTGCATGTGTGCGTGTGTACGCGTGTATGCGTGTGTGTGTGTGCGTGCGTGTGTGTGTGTGTGTGTGTTTGCGTGCGCGTGCCTGTGGGTGTGGGTGCGCGTGCGTGTGGATGCGCGTGCGCGTGCGCGTGCAAATGCAAGTGCAAGTGCAAGTACTTGATCAAGTGCATGTGTGCTTGTGCTTGTGCGCGTATTCGTGTGCGTGTGCGTGTGCACTGTTTTTTGTGTGCGGGTGTGCGTGTGTGTGCGTGTGTGCGTGTGTGTGCGTGTGTGCGTGTGTGCGTGTGTGCGTGTGAGTGTGAATGTGTGCGTGTGGGTGTGCGCGTGCGCGTGCGCGTGCCTGTGGGTGTGGGTGCGCGTGCGTGTGGATGCGCGTGCGCGTGCGCGTGCGCGTGCAAATGCAAATGCAAGTGCAAGTGCAAGTGCAATTGCTCGTGCAAGCGCATATCTCGTTGCAACTGCTCCATGCGCCGCGCCTGCTTTTCCCAGACGGCGTTCCGATCGATTCAGAAGTTCCGCTTCCGGCAGACCCAGCGGATGTCGAAGCTTTCCTCGCGCAGCTGAAGCACTACCTCCTCACAAAATGTGTCCTTTCCGAGGGGGTCGTTAGTGGCTCCCCCTGGCCGCAGTCCGACGGGCGCGGTAGCTCCAGTCACAGAACCAGCGGATGTCTCAGCGGGGCTTGCTGTACAGCCTGTCATTGGGGTCATGATGGGGCACATACGCGATGTCAGTGTGGGGTCCTGTGCCATGGGGGCCGTAAGAGGGGCGCGCGGCCAGGTCTCTCGTTAGAGGCTCCCCCAGTCGCTGGGCTGGGGTGCGTTGCGTCGGCGGCGTTCTGATGGAGCAGCTCACACACACAACACACACACACACACCACACACACACACACACGCATACCCATACGGGTAGGGGGTCCGAGGGAAGAGGACTGGCTGTCGGTGTGGGTGCGGCTTGTCGGACCGCGGGGGGGATCCCGTTCGAACGGGGGCCCCACTCCGATAACACGCACCACGCCACCCAATCCGACAGCACGCTCTCCCCAGGGGCGGCGCTGGAGGCGCAGCCAGCGGGGCCCAGCCAAGATCAAGAGATCTGCGCGGACCTCCGAAACTTTATGCTTATGCCGTGCTCTTCGTCCATAAGTCCCCTCCGCCCCCTCCTATGAGTAAAATCGATGATTCACCACAACCCCCAACCCTTTGGGAGGGGACCTGAGTTAGTAGAGCCAGGAACATTCGGGATAGGGGGTCTTTTTTTCTGTTCTGCTGATGTATCGAACCAAACCGCCCATAGGTGTTAGCCCTAATGCGAAGAAGGGGGCCTCAGTGAGGCCACGTCTCCATCGTGCTCGTAGGGGTTCTTTTATCCTCAATGAACACAGGATCGAGGCTCGGAGAATCGAGGGTGTGTGCTGTTCGCGTGTCGAGCAGAAGGTGGACCAGCCGCAAGCTGCAACAGCAGGGGCCGGCCGCCGGCCGCTCCTGGCGCGTCAGGCCCTCGCGGCAGCGGTAGAGCTCCAGGAACTTCCACGCCTCGCCGCTGGTGACCTCCCCCGCTCCGCGCCGGCACCCCAGCGAGGGCGGGCAAGGGCCGCTGCCACGAGGAGACAGGTTACCAGCCTGGGACATATCCCTATCCCTATGCTGGGTACCTCCTCATCACGATGTCAATCATAGAGAGAGAGAGAGAGAGAGCGTGATCCACCGCCGCTTTACAATGGAAAATTGCCAACTTTTTCCTCCGGAGCCCGGGGGTCGCCCCCCCCCCCTCCGAAAATCCCCCCCCCCCCCCCTCCCCTAACCCCTCCCACCCCCCCCCCTCCCCCGGCAAAACCCCCCCCCCTCCCCTAACCTTCCCCCCCACCCTCTCAAAAACCGAAGGGGGTCACTACCGGTTCGAACCCCTCCCCCCCCCCCCCCCCCCCTCCCCCTCCTCCGGATCCGGAAAACCGGGAGCGGTCACTACCGGTTCGAACCCCCCCCCCCTCGAAAACAGGAGGGGTCACTACCGGTTCGAACCCCCCCCACCCCACGCACCGCCAGCAAACGACTCCCGGTCCCTACCACCGTCCGCATCACATCCCCCACTGTTGTTCCCAGCACCACTGTCCTCACCACCACTGTCCCCACTGGTTCCACCACCGTCCCTACTGTCCCCACCAGTGCCCCCACCACTGTCGCACTGTCCCCACTGTCCCCACCACTGTTCCCACCACGGTTCCACTCTCCCCACTGTCTCCACGGCCCCAACCACTGCCCGACTATCCCCACTGTCCCCACTGTCCCACTGACTCCTCCGCTGTCCCACTGAGCTGTCCCACTGTTCCCACCACTGTCCCCACTGTCCCCACCACTGTCCCCACTGTACCTCTGTCCCATTGTCCCACCGCCGTCCTCGCCACCGCCTTCACCACTGTCCCCACCACCATTGTACCCTCCACTGTCCCACTGTGTCCACCTCATTCCCACTGTCCCCACGCCACTGTCCCCACCACCACCGTCCCCACCACTGTCCACTGTGCCCCCCTGTTCCCGCCATTGTCCCCACCATTGTCCCCACCACTACCGTCCCCACCACTGTCCCACTGTCCCACTGTCCCCACCACTGTCCCGCTGTCCCCTCACCACTGTCCCCACCAACAACGTTTCCACCACTGTCCGCACCCCCACTCGGTTTTCGAGGGGGGGGGGTTCGAAGCGGTAGTGACCCCCCCCGGTTTTCGAGGGGGGGGCGGGGGGTGTGGGTTCGAACCGGTAGTGACCCCCCCCCTTTTCATAATGAACTGGGGGGGGGGGGGGAGGGGTTCGAACCGGTAGTGACCCCCCCCGGTTTTCTGGAAAGGGAGGGGGGGGGAGGGGTTCGAACCGGTAGTGACCCCCCCCGGTTTTCCGCCAGCAGCGGTAGAACACGCTCTTTCCAATCTTAGGGACTCCCTTATTTTTTGAGGGCGAATCCCTAAGACTGTCATCGCCTCTTGGCGTGCCAATTTCAAGGATAGGGATACGTTCGAGGCTGATAAACCGGATTCGGGCTCGCGGGGCCCTCCACGGGCCCCGGGGGGTGTCAGAAAACGGCTTGGGAGGAAGAGCTCGTCCTGGGGGCAGGGCGCCAGGGTCCAAGACCTGTTTCCCTCGGGACCACGCTTCCCCATGCCCAAGCGGGGGGAGGGCGAGGAGGGAAGAGGGGACGAGGCGAAACCCTGAGATCATGGCGTCCTGCTTATTTCGAGCCAAGAGTTTTCGCCAAGTTTCGGGCCCCGGGACATTGGCAGATGGCTCCGGCTCGAAACATGACACCGGAAGACGGGGTCTGGGGCTCCAGTCGTGTTGCTATTCAAGATGTTTCACATGTTTCGCGCCGTCGGACCTCAGGGGAGGACGGCCCAGACCTCTGGAGATATGATGTTCTCACGACCCCAGCGTTCTCCCGCAATTTAATCATCAGAGGGTCGTCTGTTTTGGGACAGTGGGGTCCGGGACGCAGAACGAACAGGGAAGCTGTCGGGACCCCCGGAGCCACGGATTGAATCATCAGGTGGGGGCGGAGGTCCAGAAACAGAGGGGTGAAACGCCGAGGGCGAAGGCGCCGGGGACTGGCACATGGGGGGCTGCCACAGTGGCGATTGCCGGGGAGTCTGTAGGGAAAAAAAACACACTGTAGGAAAAAGCACACACACACTGTGGGAAAAAAACACACACAGACTGTAGGAAAAACACACACACACACTGTGTGTGTGTGTGCGTTTGTGTGTGTATGCGTGTGTGTGTGTGTGTGTGTGTGTGTGTGTGCGTGTGCGTGTGCGTGTGCGTGTGCGTGCGCGTGCGCGTGTGCGTGTGCGTGTGCGTGTGCGTGTGCGTGCGTGCGTGCGTGCGTGCGTGCGTGCGTGCGTGTGTGTGTGTGTGTGTGCGTGTGTGTGTGTGTGTGTGTGTATGTGTGTGTGTGTTTCCCAACACACACACACAAGCACTGTGTGTGTTTTTCCCGACAGACTGTGTGTGTTTTCCCACAGACGCAAGGAAGGAACATCGACCTGGCATCGGCGATACGTCGCCGATAGTTCCTGGGCGGGGCGGGGCATCAGGGTCCCATCAGCGATCAGCGGGCGATTGAAGCTCGCTTCGTCCCCCCTGGGCCGATGCCCGCCCTGACGCTGCCCCTGGCAGGGGCACAGGGAGGAGGGGGGGCGAGGGGGAGAGAGGGAAGGGAACGTACGACCACGACGCGATATCATCTTGGGGGCTGCTGCTGCCCCTCCTCCTCCTCTGTCCCCCCTCCTCCCTGCCTGCTCATACCCCTCAACCGCCACCAGATCCAGGGTTCCAGAAGCTTCGACAATTAAGAGTTTGAAAGTTTTTGACAATTTGGCTCGAGCAGTTTCCACAGCTTTGGAAGTTAAACGCTTAAAAGTAAACTTGTTTGAAACGCCATAGGAATCTTGCATGAAATCGGCCAGCTTGGTGGAACATTTTCACACTTTCAAGCCCCTGGGCCCCAGGGTGTCAGAGATTCCTGGGAAGCTGCGAATCCAGGGTTCCAGACAGGTTGAAAAACAACTCAACAACCTTTCAAGTTTTGAGCACCCTAAAATTTTTTAGCACTTACGCTGTTATACAACTTCTTGACTATGTGCAAAACCAGGGCCCCGCGATTTCGGAGACCCTGGGGCCTGGGAGTCCAGGGCTCCAGAACCTTCAAACACATATGAATAACAACTTGTAGCCCCGTAAAAATATCTGAACAGCTTTTTAAACTTATGAAAATGTTGAATACCCTGGAGGGCCCAGGATTATGACGAATTCTGGGGGCCTGGGAGCGCAGGTGCTCAAAAGCATCAAAAGATCTAAGCTGTCAAAGCGAGCAGTTTCGGACATTTCGGACATTTTGAACCCAAGAAGTGCTTTGAAATTGGAAGCGCTTGAAAACCCTGGGCCAAGATTCGGCTCCGGAAATTCTACATATGTCCTACTCAACTTCTCGAAATTTGTTTCCAAAGCTTTTGAGCGCCGATAAAATATTCAAACTTGGGAAAATTCTGAAACCTTTCAAATCGGGAAATACATGGGCCTCAGGGTTTCGGAAAATCCTGCGGACCTGGGGATCCCGGGTTTCAAAGGGTTCAACAAATTTTCAAATTTCACATATGAACGGCTAAAATGCCTCAAAACGTGAAAGAACTCTAAACGATTTGAGACTTCTGAAACCTCTGGGCCGCAGGATTCCGGAGAATCCGGGTGGCATGGGAATCACGGGCTTCAGAAGTTCTACAGCCCTTGAAACTTCCCAAACGTTTGAACGGCGAAGCAAAAGTTCTAGCACTTCCCGAGCTGTTGGAACTTTTGAGCCCCCTGGTCCCAAAGATGTAGGATAATCTTGCGCCACATGCAATCCAGGGAATGAAAGGGGTTGGAGGGGAGTGTGATGGAGGAGGTAGGAAGGAGGTGGATATGGAAGAGGAGGGGGTGCGAAGGAGGAACCTCCCCGACCATCCTGCCGCGAGGCGCGGGACATACAGAGCGATCAGGGGAACGCAAACGCGCGAAGTGCAACCGACGGCGCGAGTTCCATGCGGAAGCGACGTTCTTCAAATGATCATCTATACTGGAGCATACATACGTTTACAGCTGCATGTACATGTATGTGTACGTGGCTCTCTGTCTGTCTCTCTCTCTCTCTCTCGCTATATATATACACACACGTATGTGTTTGTATACGCACATGTGCGAACACTTATGCGTGTATACAGACTTATACTTTTGAAACTATGTATACATGTGCATGAACACACACACACACACACACACGCATGTATTTGGACATGTGCATACATTCCATCATCGCCACATCGCCCCATGAACGCTTCCACGGGCCCCCGGGAATATTCGATGAGACCTCAGGATGCCTCAAGAGGTCCAACTCGCTGCTTGTGGATCCCAGGAAACATAAGGGAACTTCAGGAGGCCCCAGAAGGCGCAGGAAACCACAGGAGGCCCCAGGCAGCTCCAGCATGACCTGAGAGGAGCTCCATATCCCCGCCAGTAGGCCCCCCGTGCACACCTATCACAAAGTAGCCTGTGCGATAGGTGTGCGCGGGGGCTTGTCGTGGCCCCGCAGGAGGCCGCCTTCTGGTGCTTCTGGGCCTATCACAGACACGGGATGTTCCGGAGGCGACGTTCTGTATACGACCATAGGTGTTTCTGCGTGAATGTATACATGTATATGTGTTTGTGCATGCTTACACACACATACATATATATATATATGTGTGTGTGTACATGTGTACGTGTGTGTACATCACTAAATATATACACAGTTTTGCAAGCATACTTGCATGTACGTGTATGTAGATACGCGCACATGTATGACATATGTATGATGTATGCATGTATGAAACCTGTTTGATATGCCCATGCGAACGTACACATGTCCATATATATATATATATATACGTGTCGGTCTGCGCTGATCTTTCCAGCATCGCCCAGCATAGCCCAAGGAACACCGCCACGGGCCCCCGAGAATATAGGATGAGACCCCAGGAAGCTTCAAG